AGCTCACAACCAATAAATAGGCAGCCTGTGATAATTAGGGCCAAGTATTGAACCTTTAAAAGTCTTTTGGTATTAACTGAAATGTTTCCATAGCATCAAAATTATCAAAAACTTTCAAAGTCCCGAAATCTGGCTTCAAATGTCTGCTCAGATTTCTAATATTGTTCACGTATTATTTGATCTGTTGCTGATTTGAGTCTAAATGTTGCCCGTTTTAGACATTTATTTTATAAAAGAAAGCATCTGTTATAATCAAAATAAACTAATGTAACGTGTCGGTACAGAAAAATGTGATTGAGTGATATTTGGCCACAAGCAGAACTCCATATTAAGGCACCAGCATCATTTAGACTTTACGAAGCTCTAGATCCAGCTGTTTGAACATCCACAGACAAACAGAGCTACAAATGCAGCACAGTCTGAATGTTATCACGACTTGACGTCCAGGAAACGGCTGCCTGCACCTTCAGAATAAACCTCCTCCATCCCTGCTGCTTATTAAATACTAAAAAAACACCCAGGACCTCATGGAGACCTTTTGTGTTGCATTTTTATTCATTCATTTTTTACTCAAAATCAGATAAAACATCCCACTAACGTCCCACTACCTACCCCACCTACCCCACCCCACCTCCCCCATAAAATAAATAAAATCTGCATGTTTCACCCCCCTCACACACACACACACACACACACACTTAAACACACAACACTGCACTCTGGCTGCCAGCAGCTCACCCCAGTAACCGGCTTGATGTCTATTGCTTTTTACTGCCTGTGCGTAGCTTCCACCAGGCTGCACCCTGCTGTCTTTATTTATGTCTTCTGTATGTCTTGGCTTCCCTTTTTCCCCACTTTGCCTGTCGTCTGTTGGTCCGTCTGTTAATTCTCCCTCCCAAAGTGCTTAATTCTCCTCGTACGTGCTTTGTCCTCTTGCCTGTTTCGGCTCTGTCAGCTGATCCCGGCTGTCTCTCATCTTTAGTCCGTGTCTCCGCTGTAGCTGTGACGCTGTCTAACTGCTGCAGCTTTACTAAACCTTACTACAACTCCCACAGGGCATTGCGGCAGGTTCAGGTGACCACGCTGCACCTGAGTCTCTGGCTTCCCTGACATATGAATCTCCAAAATGTATTCAATGAGTGCGATTTGATCGGCTGGCAGCTCCAAACGCCTTCTTCTGAGTCTGGCTTTAAGAAAAAAAAGAAAAAGTGGCCTCTTCTGGAGACGCAGATATTTTTTGTAATCAGACTAAAAAACCACAAGAAAAACAATACTGACGCCAGTTTGCCTCAGAAGGTGCACGAACTGGAGCTACAAAGGAAGAATAAATTCATTCATCCCCAGAGACGGATGTTTGAACAAAAACTGCGTGTTGGTTCAGAAAAACAAAGAGTGTTTTTAGCCTCCGCTGGCCTCCAACATAACTGCACCAGAGTGAAAGAAAAACATTCACAACCTACGAGAATCCACGAAAAGCCACTGGATGACTCTTTTTGTGAATCTGAAGAATTTTCAATTGCAGTGCCAGAAGTTTAATTTTCCATCTCTTTTGGCTCCACGGAGGAATGTTGGCCTTGAACGAGGGTTGTTTCTCCGTGGTTACTTTGTTCTCTGCCAGTTTGTGTTTATGTGGTTTGAGGCTGAAGTGGGA